TGCCCTCATGAGCTGCCGCAGCCGCCAGCCCATCATCTGTACCGATGTCATCAGCTACCTCTGACCCCGCCCCCAGCCCCGGACAATAAAGACCTTGCTCTGGACTGTTCTTGATTCCACAGCGAGTCTCTGGGAGGAGGCCCCAGCCCTCCAGGCACAGCTGGGGCAGGCGAGTCTAAAGAGCCTCCCCCTCCAGGGGTCCCTGTGCGCCCTCGTCACACCCATGCCCAGGCTCCGTCACCCAGCCTCTGCGTTTGCGACTTCCTTCAGCAGCGTTTATTGAGCACCTACTGTGGGCCCCGCGCAGGTCCCGATGGGGTGGAGCGGCCGCTGCCAGGTCCCAGCTCATAGTGTAGGGGCGGGAAAGCGGTGCCGTCCTCCTCTCCCTCACAGCCGAGCTCCAGGGCCAGCACCCACTGCCCAGGCTCGGGCACCCGCCGGCCTGTCACCTGCTGTGCCAGCTCTGTCACCCTGGGGTGGGGGTGGGGATTGGGTCGTTGAGCAGTGGCTGCAGAGTGACCGTGGACTAGGGCCAGAAGGAGCCCAGCCAGGAGCAGCAGCAACTCAAGACAGGAAACATCTGCAACTATTTTCGGAGTGGCTGGCGGGGCAGCGGGAGGCAGGAAACGCCTGTCCCTGGGGAGTGGGCTCTGAAGGGGGCGCTGAGCAGGGCGAGGAGCCGGTGCGGCCGCCAAGCAGGCAGCTCCTGGAGGCCCTCTGTGGGCTCTGCCCCCACCCTGCCCCCAGCCCGTTTGCTGACTCCATTTGGCAAAAGAAAGCGTCATGTAGGTGTGAGGGGCCCAGATGGGGCCGGGAGGAGAGGCTTTGAGTCCCCCGCCTCCAACCTCCAGGGACAGAGCGGAGCCAGGAGCCAGGCGTGGGCTCACCTGAGGCCCAGGCGCTGGGCCTGCTTTTCAGGTGACCATCCCGCCGAGTAGAGCAGGGCCTTGCCCAGCAGCAGCATGTTCACCCGCAGCCCATGTTGCTCCTAGAGAGAGACGGTCAGGTGCCGCTGCCGGGCAGGCCGGGCGGGGGCAGGGAAGGGAAGGGAAGGCACACCTGGAGATGGGCCAGGAGTGACTGGAGGGTCCTCTCGGGCTGCCCAGCGGGCACCGTCAGGCGGTCCCAGCAGGTCCAGGTCAGGTGGTGGAACTGCGGAGGAGAGGGGGACGGGGGAGTGAGGAGCTCCCCACAATCACCCTCTCCCACCCCAGCTCCCGCAGCCCATGCCTTCCCTGGAGGAGCGCTGGCGGGAGCAGGAAGCAAGGAGGCAGCAGCCAGGGGTGGGGGTGGGCGGTGGGCTCTGGGCCCGGAGGCTCAGCGCCACCCCAGCCCATGCGGGGCCGGCACAGGAAAGGCCATGGGGCCCCCACACAGGGAAACGGCCTCCCTCACAGGCTGGCTGTGTAGGAGGGGGAGGGCGGTGCTTCCTGAGGAAGTGCGAGCCGAGCCGGGACCTGGGCCGCTTATTCCTCAAATGCAAGCCTGGGAGCTGGGAAAGGGGGTGTACAGCCTGTCCCCCCTCATCCTGCACTGCCAGGGCCTTGGGCTGCTCATGGGCACAAAGGGACATGGGGCATAGTGTCTCCTGGGACCCCACTGGCCTGGAGACCCTGCAGGGACAGTCCACAGAGGCCTCCTCTTCCTGCCCCTTCTCCCCTGTTTCAAGAGTCTCGGGGTCTAGTGCCCAGAGCGGAGGGCAGAGGGTGGCAGGCAGCCAGGGACCTGGGCAGGAGATCCTGCCACCCCCCCCAGGAAATATAGTGGGGTCAAGCAGAGACAAGACCAGAGGTGAGATGGGGGGATCCTACCCCCTCCCCCTCCACCATGGACAAAGGCAGCCTGTGTGCTAACGGAGGCAGGGCCCCTCACAAAGCCGCTCTGTATGCTGTGCCCTGAGGGACCCCGGGGACACTTAGCCAAAGCCCAGTGCTGGCCCATGACCTCTGCCTTCTCCCCTGGTGAGGACATTCTCTCCACCCCCTCTTCTGTGCCCCAAGGAAAAGCTAACTGCAGAGCTGGCACACAGCCAGGGCCCCTCGCAGCCCTGCTCTCAAAGGAACATATGCACAGCAGCCAGGGACACCCACACGTGTGCTCACACACATCCCGTGAGAGCCCACGTCGAAGAGGAGCCTGCCCTCCCATCTGGCACACAGATGTGCGAGCACGCTCCCTCCACGCCCACACAACCCCAGGCACAGCCTGTGCCACGGACACACACATCCCAGGGCTGTGGACCCCACCCCTGTGACGCCAGGAGCTCAGTGCCCTTTAACTCGGTGTGGACGGGGCAGGGCAGGGTCCCCACGCCATGCAGGCGGAGACTGTGCAGCGGAGGCTGACATTGGCTCTGCTTGGGGCTAGGGCCCTAGTCCCCCTCCTCGCCCCTCCCCCTCAGGGGCACTCCTGGGAAGGAGGGAGCTGGGGCCTGTCTGGCTCTCTAATGAGTTAAAGCTGCAGCTCCCCCAGACCCAGGGCAGCGGAGTGCTGGGCGGTGGGGGTGGCTGATGGCTACTTCCTGTGTCTGACAGGTCCCAGTCTGGCTTCCCAGCAGCAGGAAGGGGCTGAGGGCGTCTTAAGAATGCGGGTCTTGGTGCAGGCCAGAAGCCAGAGGGGGCCTTTGGGTAGGCGCAGGGGAAGCCCAGGCTTGGAGTGGGCGGGTGTCAGGGCTCACCGTCTGGAGGGCGGGGGCGCGGGGCACGTAGCGGCTGTAGGAGTTCTCGGCCAGGCGCAGGTAGCTGTGGCGGAAGGCACTGCGGGGCCGGGGGCCGCCCACCACCTTAAAGAGCTCCAGGCCCAGCAGGCCCGCCACAGCCGCTGTGGTGGTGGCGATGGCTGGGATGATCTGGCCCACGATCCGCTTGCTCTGCCAACAACAGGAGACTGGGTTTGGGACGGGTGCGGGCCGGGGTTGGGCCTCTGCCTCCACGCTGGGGCCGGCAGGCAGGGTTACCTGGGCGCGGGTGGCCGCCGGGATCCCATAGTTCTGAGCCCGCAGGCTTGCTGCCGCCGTCACAAAGTCCATGTGGAAGTTGCTGTCATCGTCCTGTGAGGTTCAGGTCACAGAAGCGTGAACACTGCCATGCCCCTCACCGTGGCGACCGTGGGCGTCTGCGCCCATCCCCCCACGGTGCTGTCCATGATGCTCCCCCTCCCCTCAGCAGGGAAGGGAAGGGGAGCTGTCCCTGGTCCCGCTGAGACGACTCGGGCCAAGGGGCCCCAGCGCTGCCTTCTCAGCCCCTGACCTTCCCAGCCGCCTCCCAGCCTCACCCTCTCCCGCCGCGGCCCCCACCTTCTCAAACCCCAGCGGCTCCAGGGGGGAGCCCTCGCTCCAGTCTTGCAGGGCTTCGTGCAGCTGCGCCTCCTGCTGGGGGTCTGTTGGGAGGAGGGACAGTCCTTGGCCTGTCTCCTGCCTCCTGGACTCTGCCCGGGGCCGGGCCCCTTCTTGGTCCCTTTCGAGAAGACCTCTGACTGACGGTGCCATCTCCTCTCCACCCCGTGTGTCTGGGTGTCCGTGTGTGTGTGTGTGTGTGTCTGCATGCATGTGTGCATGCGCATGTGTGTCTGCATGCATGTGTGTGCTGTATGACCCTGTCCTAACCTAGGGCCATAGATAAATGCTCCTCAGAGCCCAATGGTTTGTGCTTTTTTTGCTTAAAAACCTGCCAAATGGCCTGGTCGACGTGGCTCAGTGGTTGAGCGTTGACCTGTGAACTAGGAAGTCACGGTTCGATTCCCTATCAGGGCACGTGCAGGGGGCGTGCAGGAGGCAGCTGATCAGTGCTTCCTCATCAGTGAGGTTTCTGTCTCTCTCTCCCTCTCCCTTCCTAAACAAAACAAAACCTGCCAAGGGAATGGGGTCAGGGTGGGGGGTGGGGAAGGTGGCAGGGAGCCTGCGGAGGGGCCCAAGGATGCACGCGGCGGTGGGTTGGCTGCAGGGCCCCAGACCCGTCTTTCCTCTACACTGAGGGCAGCACCAAGCCTTTGGGCGGCAGCTTGGGGGTGGGCAGGGCCGGGACCTCACCCAGCTCCTGGGAAGCCAGGTCACCGGGAAGGATGGGGTCCAGGTGCTGGGGGTCAGGCCGCGGCAGCCGCTCCAGCATTTCCCTGAGCGCAGACGGGTCCCGTGAGCCCGGCAGCCTGTGCATCTGAGCGTACAGATTGGCCGCCGCCAGCACGTAGAGGAGGTGCATGTCCTGCAGTCAGAGCAAGAGTGAGCACGCGTGGGTGCGTGTGTGCGGTCCCGCCCACTGGTGGGTGTGTTTGAGTGTCTGCCGGCCACGTGGGCACCCACGGGTGCCCAACACGCCCTGGCAGCATCTGTCCAGGAGGCAGAGGGGCCACTTTGCCCTCAGGGGCCCACTCACTTGACTGGCATTGAACTCCAAGGGCTGAGGACACTGCCTGGGACTCGACCAGAAACGTGTTCCATCCTTAAGCACCTGAGGAGAGGGAGGCTGCTGGGCTCAGGCGGTCCCTCTGCGCCCACAGCCTCCGGGCCCCGGCACCCACTTCCTCAGGGGGGTGG